CATCTTCAGTTTTCTCCCATCACAGCCAATGAACTCTGTAGCTGTTTTAAAATCACCATTGGCCTCATGGTGACATCCCTCAGCAGTTTCCTTCCTGTCCTGCAGCTCATTTCAGAAGGACGACTGTATCTTTGATGTGTCTGGCTGGTTTAATACATCATCCACAGTATAATTATTAACTTGACCATGCTTAAAGATATATTCAATGTCTGATTTGTTATTGTTACCCATCTAATAATCACTGGCCTTCTTTAAGGCTTTCAAAAATCTCCCTGGTCTTTGTAGTTGAATATGTGATTGAAACTCAATACCTGACTGAGGGGGGACAGAGGAAATGGTAGTCATTAAAAGATCATGTCAATCCCTATTATTTCACACAGTGAGTCCATTATTTTGTGATTTTTTTAAAGCCACATTTTACTCCTGAACTAATTTAGGCTTGCCTAAACAAAGGGGGTGAATACTTATGCAATGACTATATTTTAGTTATTGAATTTGTATTAATTTGTAAACATTATGGAGTATTTTGTGTAGATCATTGACAAAAAAATCACAATTAGATCTATTTCAATTCCATTTTGTAACACAACAAAATGTGAACAAATCCAGGGGGGGTGAATACTTATGATACCCACTGTATACATTATTGTTAGATAACCATTGGTGTCATTATTGCAGCCAGAATAGACAGCTGATGGTCATTTCCATGTAAAAGGACCCATGAGCACCAACATGTGAAGTTCGTTGGAACATGTCAAATGAAAGCTAAGAGTAAAGAAAAAGTATTATTAAAATGTGTATATATACATTTGTCAAGCATTTGCCATCCTAAAAATTAGGAATAAGCAAAGGCTTTGATTTCTTGTCAAACAGATGGAAACCGGGTCTTAGAAAACATCCAGAAAAAGTATTGAAAGGTATTAGTAATACATCAAAACACAATAATGTTGAAGTGAAGACCCCTGCCAACTAATATCAACAAATATTTAGTTTGGGAGAAATTATTCTGCCTTCTGTAAGTTTAAAAAAAGAAAGAAACATTGCCTTGTGCCTTGAAATTCCATTACCAAAAACCCACATACCTTTAAGATATTTTCTAATTTCTCTCCCTCATGAGGAGGGAGGATAATACAAGTTCACAGAAGTAACAAGTAAAGATAGACCTATCAATTAGTGTTTTTACTGATATCAATTTTGTTTGAGTTATTAAGTAATTTCCGAAATATTAGTAATAGAATTTCTGTTATTGAATTGGCTACAAGTTTGGACAGCACACTACAGTAAATAAAAGAAGAGTATAGTTCAGTACAGTGGAGTTCAGTACAGGAAAGAAAAGCAGAGTATAGTTCAGTAATGTAGAGTTCAGTACAGTAAAGAGAAGAAGCATATAATACAGTACACAGTAGCGCACACCTAGAGTTGAGTACACTATAATGTACTCCCGAGTGCTGCAGCGGTCTAAGGCACTGCATCTCAGTGCTAGAGGTGTCACTACAGACCCTGTTTCAATCCCGGGCTGTATAACAACCGGCCATGATCGGGAGTCCCACAGGGTGGCGCACAATTGGCCCAGCGTCGTCCGAGTTAGGGGAGGCTGGGGGTCGTCCGTCATTGTAAATAAGAATTTGTTCTTAACTGACTTGCCTAGTTTAAATAGAGGTTAAATAAAAATACTGTACTATACTGTACTTGACTGTACTCTACTCAACTCTACTGTTCTGTGCTGTACTGTACTCTACTGAGCTGTACTTTGATGTCCAAACTTGTGAAACATACAGTGGGGAAAAAAAGTATTTAGTCAGCCACCAATTGTGCAAGTTCTCCCACTTAAAAAGATGAGAGGCCTGTAATTATCATCATAGGTACACGTCAACTATGACAGACAAAATGAGGAAAAAAAATCCAGAAAATCACATTGTAGGATTTTAAATGAATTTATTTGCAAATTATGGTGGAAAATAAGTATTTGGTCAAAAACAAAAGTTTCTCAATACTTTGTTATATACCCTTTGTTGGCACTGAGGCACAGGTCAAACATGTTCTGTAAGTCTTCAAGGTTTTCACACACTGTTGCTGGTATTTTGGCCCATTCCTCCATGCAGATCTCCTCTAGAGCAGTGATGTTTTGGGGCTGTCGCTGGGCAACACGGACTTTCAACTCCCTCCAAAGATTTTCTATGGGGTTGAGATCTGGAGACTGGCTAGGCCACTCCAGGACCTTGAAATGCTTCTTACGAAGCCACTCCTTCGTTGCCCGGGCGGTGTGTTTGGGATCATTGTCATGCTGAAAGACCCAGCCACGTTTCATCTTCAATGCCCTTGCTGATGGAAGGAGGTTTTCACTCAAAATCTCACGATACATGGCCCCATTCATTCTTTCCTTTACACGGATCAGTCGTCCTGGTCCCTTTGCAGAAAAACAGCCCCAAAGCATGATGTTTCCACCCCCATGCTTCACAGTAGGTATGGTGTTCTTTGGATGCAACTCAGCATTCTTTGTCCTCCAAACACGACGAGTTGACTTTTTACCAAAAAGTTCTATTTTGGTTTCATCTGACCATATGACATTCTCCCAATCCTCTTCTGGATCATCCAAATGCACTCTAGCAAACTTCAGACGGGCCTGGACATGTACTGGCTTAAGCAGGGGGACACGTCTGGCCACTGCAGGATTTGAGTCCCTGGCGGCGTAGTGTGTTACTGATGGTAGGCTTTGTTACTTTGGTCCCAGCTCTCTGCAGGTCATTCACTAGGTCCCCCCGTGTGGTTCTGGGATTTTTGCTCACCGTTCTTGTGATCATTTTGACCCCACGGGGTGAGATCTTGCGTGGAGCCCCAGATCGAGGGAGATTATCAGTGGTCATGTATGTCTTCCATTTCCTAATAATTGCTCCCACAGTTGATTTCGTCAAACCAAGCTGCTTACCTATTGCAGATTCAGTCTTCCCAGCCTGGTGTAGGTCTACAATTTTGTTTCTGGTGTCCTTTGACAGCTCTTTGGTCTTGGCCATAGTGGAGTTTGGAGTGTGACTGTTTGAGGTTGTGGACAGGTGTCTTTTATACTGATAACAAGTTCAAACAGGTGCCATTAATACAGGTAACGAGTGGAGGACAGAGGAGCCTCTTAAAGAAGAAGTTACAGGTCTGTGAGAGCCAGAAATCTTGCTTGTTTGTAGGTGACCAAATACTTATTTTCCACCATAATTTGCAAATAAATTCATTAAAAGTCCTACAATGTGATTTTCTGGATTTTTTTTTCTCAATTTGTCTGTCATAGTTGACGTGTACCTATGATGAAAATTACAGGCCTCTCTCATCTTTTTAAGTGGGATAACTTGCACAATTGGTGGCTGACTAAATACTTTTTTGCCCCACTGTAGACGTGTATGATTGGTTCAGATTTGGTCTTGTTTTTCCGTTGGTCATGTTTTTCTTGCAATTCCGTTACTGGGTGTAAATCCACTTCACTTACTGTAGTTTAATAACCAAAATAGATTTTTTCAAAGTCAATGTGTCATGTCATACCTGACACCCCATTCTTTCTGCAGACATAGTTTAATCTTAATTCGGAGCAGATATTTAAGAGTTTTGGAAAAAAGGACGGACACAAACTGAGGGAGATTTTACTGAAATTCTGTTGCCAAACTTTGCATCTGCCTGTTCTTCCTGTAAATGTTTTTGTAAAATGTTAAGTGTACATTTTAAAAAATAGTACACGTGCATAGAGTTTGGTAATGGTTTGTTAATCTTTGAAATCAATGGTTTTTGTTTGGCATACATTTTAAGTGAAAAATCTTGAGTCTCAGCGCAGTTCCATTACCATGGAATTGTCCTGATATGACATACAACTATTTTTTTCAATTCTCACAAGTCTCAAATGTGACAGCCAGACTCGACACAGCTTCAATTTCCAGCTTCCACTGTGAGTGACAACTTGCAAATGATGGAATTATATAAATGATTAGTCTCTTCTCACAGTCGCTGTGGAGCACTCTGAGTCTGCCGAGAGAGACTAAAAAACGATTGACATCAAGCTGAACCCTCATAACATCTCAATGAAATGTGTCAAAGTGCATTGGTTACTCTAGTCTATCAAACTGCTCTCTGGTGCTGTGAGTCAGGCACTATTGGAAGTTTCATCTAATTCTTGTCAAAACATATGGATGCCCTAGAAAGTCCATATACTGTTTGTATGTATTCATTAACACTGCCAGTGCCACTAACTCTGTGTTAGTATTAGTTGCCTGCCTGTTTTGATTATTTATATCTGTGGGTTAATTTGAATGGAACCACACTCATGAGAATGGCACCGTTGATTTCTGGATCTGTACTTTTGTATGGTCTGAGTTTAGCATTGGCTGGCATAGGCGGTGCCATCTGGAGGAGTATTATCATCAATGGGCTTTGTTTGGGTGTTGAGAATAGATTTGGATAATTGATTGGGTAAATGTTTAGTAGCAGACTGCCATTCTCCCTTCTCTCTGCTGTAGCGCCATGTTATGGTTAGTGCTAACAAGAGGATGACTTTACTGACTGATAATAAGGATGTTTCTGCGGATAGGAGAAACATTGTTTGAATTGATGTGTTGACGTTTGTGTACTTTGTCCAAGATTAATGGTAGAGTGTTATCCTGGGGCCGACAACGCAGTGAAGCCGTTGCAAAGCACAGAAGTTGGAGGCTCTTACCCCAGCAGATCGCTAAAATGAAGTTAAACTTCTGCAATTGCCTGTAAGTGGCGTAAAATATTCATCCACTTCTCATGATCTGAGGACCAGGTTTAATCTCTGCACTTGCATTTGTTTCCACATTCATTTCTCTTTTGACTCTCCTCTCCCCCTTTCTCTGTCCTGTTCCCTTCTTCTTCTTCTTCTTTGCCTACAGTTTCTTTGCACACTCAGACTCTCTCTCTCTATCTCTCTCTGTCTCTCTCTCTCTCTCTGTCTCTGTCTCTGTCTCTGTTTCTGTCTCTGTCTCTGTCTCTGTCTCTCTGTCTCCAGTCGTGGGGGAAATTCAGTCTTCCATGGAACTTCTGCTCTGCTCCAACTGTGCTCTGACTCGGAGGAGGCATATTTTCTGTCCGATTTGTCTCTAAATGTGACCGCTCTGCTCACTAGCAGCACTGGGTGCGATGTGCCAGTGGGGAGAAACACTGCCATATATGGCGGTGTGATGGTGGCCAGGGCCAAGTTGTGCAAAACAACCCTGCACACCTCCTCTCTTGAGACAGCCTCTCCCTCTCCTCCCCTATTCCTCCTCCTCCATTCTCTCCGTTAGCCGCGGAAGTCCCAGCTCCTGGGCAGAATGCAGAATGTTGTAAGAATGTTAGCTAGTTTGCACTGGTCATGCAAATGTAGAGGAAGTGTATGCTGTAATCGTAGGCCAAGGGGCTAAGCTTACGGCTGGAAGAAGTTAGACTTGGATAAATGTTTTTGCCTTGTTCGGTGTAGCTAAAGTTTCAGTCCTTCAGTCCATCTGTCAGATTTGAAATGCAATGGCCCAGTAGACTTAGTCCTTTACAGGTGGATCTCCGTGCTTCATTCTGAATGAATGCTGGCTACTCATAGTGGAAAATGCCAACAGTGTTTGGTTCGGAAGCACCTAGGTCTCTAGCTAAAGCAAGCATGATTTCATTTGGTGGTGAAACACCTCACTTAGCACTGCTAACAGACCTGTGTGGGAGAATTCTGTGAATATGATATCATGTATTACTGTGTGTGTGTGGGGGGGAACTCTATTTTTATGCATGACAACATGTCAGCGATGGGAGGAGAAGGGACTTTGGAGATGCGTTCGGCCTACTCGTTTACTGTTCTATCCATCTGACTTCAAGCATCACCTCTTCATGACCACCTCCTGGGCAGAGACAGCTTCCCACATAGACACAGAAACGCTGTGCATGCACACGCTCCCATAAACACATACACACTCCTTCATACAAAGCAGTGAGCCATCATCACACCAACGCTATGTACATTATTATCCTTAGTTAAATCACCTATGGAAAAATACATAATATACTTGATGAATAAGTCCAAAACACATCTATGGGTTCATTTTGCTCATGTTCCATTTATCTGACGTCCAGCACATCTGTTCAACATATCAGGCAAGACATCCATCAGCAGTTAGACAAAACACAGACGTGGTGCTCGTCTGTTTCCCTCCATGGGTCACAGTACGACATGGGGATCTTGCCATTTGTGAGACTCTGGCTGTTCGAGTATTTTGGAGTTATGGGCTCTGCCTGGCATACCCCTCACTTCGCATGGGCTCTGGCTCCACTTCTCCAAGCAACTATTTTTAAACGTCTGGAATTTGATCAAAACATTAGCTTTTTACTCAAGCCTTTTAAAGTCCAAAGGCTGTTGTTTTCTGTTTCACATGCCTGGAGATGGGATCGGAGATAGGGAGGAGGGTTTGGGAAATGGAGAGGAGGTTCGCTGTTGGAGTCAGGTCTGTTGCTATTGGTTTAACTAATGAGAATTTGTTCTCAATTAATATGCCTGAATAAATAAAGGTTTCATATGAAATAGATCATAATAATAAACTGCAATACTCATAATGCGGGGGCGGCAGGTAGCTTAGTGGTTAAGAGCGTTGTGCCAGTAACCGAAAGGTCGCTGGTTCTAATCCCCGAGCCGACTAGGTGAAAGATCTGTCGATGTGCCCTTGAGCAAGGCACTTAACCCTAATTGCTCCTGTAAGTCGCTCTGGATAAGAGCGTCTGCTAAATGACTAAAATGTAAATAATAATAAACTAGTTGAATCAGAAAATGAAACTTTTTTCCCTTCAATGATTTTTTGCCTTTCCTTGTGACAGGGAAGTCACACAAAGAAAATACCGATAGGGGAGAGTGGGGTAAGTTGAGCCAATCTTGTTTCTAGAAAACCATACACAAAATTAATCATTTGACCAATTATTTAGTGAAGGAATAAACCACATGGAAAAAGTGGTAAGTAAGTTAGGTCCAATAAACTGATTTTCACCAAGTCAAAGGAATTTGTGTTATACACATCAGTTGGGGTCTCTAAGCTTCAATATGAGGTCCTAAACCTAGCATGGAAGTGCATCCTTATAGGTGTGTGGGCTAATATTGTCAAAATGTTTGCCTTTGGGTAAGTTGAGCCAATGTCAAATTGAGCAAATTGAAGTGTTTTCTTCCCAGGCTTAATGCAAGGCATTATTGCTGGGATATGAGGTAACAACAGGGCTTGGCCTATGTGAAGTTTTTACATTTTTAAGTACAAAGTTTTTGTAAGGTGTTAAGCCTGTGTTTAAAATATGATTAAAAGAGAAATAAGCGATTGTGATTGTTGAATTGTTTGGGCAATAAAGATAGACATGGTTTTAAAAAGGTAATGGTAACTGGTAATACACTGAAAATAAATAAAAGCAACATGCAACAATTTAAAAGATTTTAGCGAGTTACAGTTCATAGAAGGAAATCTGTCAATTAAAATAAATAAATTATGCCCTAATCTATGGATTTCACATGACTGGGAATACAGATATGCGTCTGTTGGTCACAGATACCTTTAAAAAATGGTAGGGGTGTGGATCAGAAAACCAGTCAGTATCTGGTGTGACCATAATTTGCCTCATGCAGCGAAACACTTCTCCTTTGCATAGAGTTGATCAGGCTGTTGATTGTGGCCTGTGGAATGTTGTCCCACTCCTTTTCAATGGCTGTGCGAAGTTGCTGGATATTGATGGGAACTGGAACCTGCTGTTTTACACGTCGATCCAGAGCATCCCAAACATGCTCAATGGGTGACATGTCTGGTGAGTATGCAGGCCACGGAAGAACTGGGACATTTTCAGCTTCCAGGAATTGTGTACAGATCCTTGCGACATGGGGCCGTGCATTATCATATCATATTTCTGAAACATGAGGTGATGGCGGCGGATGAAATACAATAATAATAATAATATGCCATTTAGCAGACGCTTTTATCCAAAGCGACTTAGTCATGCGTGCATACATTTTTGTGTATGGGTGGTCCCGGGGATCGAACCCACTACCTTGGCATTACAAGCGCTGTGCTCTACCAGCTGAGCTACAGAGGACCACTATTGTGTCCATTGTCCGTAGCTTATGTCTGCCCATACCATAAACCCACCTCCACCATGGGGCACTCTGTTCACAACGTTAACATCAGCAAACCGCTCACCCACATGACGCCATCTGCCCGGTACAGTTGAAACCGGGATTAATCTGTGAAGTGCACACTTCTCCAGCATGCCAGTGGCCATCGAAGGTGAGCATTTGCCCACTGAAGTCTGTTACGACGTCAAACTGCAGTCAGGTCAAGACCCCGGTTAGGACAATGAGCACGCAGATTAGCTTCCCTGAGACTTTCTGACAGTTTGTGCCGAATTTCTTCAGTTGTGCAAACCCACCGTTTTATCAGCTGTCCAGGTGGCTGGTTTCAGACAATCCCGCAGGTGAAGAAGCCGGATGTGGAAGTCCTGGGCTGGCATGGTTACTCGTGGTCTGCGGTTGTGAGGCCGGTTGGACATACTGCCAAATTCTCCAAAGCGACGTGGTAGAGAACTGAACATTCAATTATCTGGCAACAGCTCTGGTGGACATTCCTGCAGTCAGCATGCCAATGCACGCTCCCTCAACTTGAGACATCTGTGGCATTGTGTTGTGTGACACAACTGCACATTTTAAAGTGGCCTTTTATTGTCCCCAGCACAAGGTGCACCTGTGTAATGATCATGCCGTTTAATCAGCTTCTTGATATGCCACACCTGTCAGTTGGATGGATTATCTTGGCAAAGGGGAAATGCTCACTAACAGGGATGTAAACAAATCTGTGCACAACATTTTAGAGAAATAAGCTTTTTGTGCGTATGGATATTATCACGTTTCAGGAGAAGACCCAGATGCAGACAGTGTCGAAGTAACAAAACGGGGCAGGCAAACAACAGGTCAAGGGCAGGCAGAGGTCAGTAATCCAGATCAGAGTCCAAAAGGTACAGAACGGCAGGCAGAGGTCAATAATCCAGGGTCGTGTGACAAGGTACAGAACGGCAGGCTCAGGGCAGGCAGAATGGTAAAAACTAGAAAACAGGAACTTGAGCAAGGGGGGGAAACCACTGGTAGGCTTGACGAAACAAAACAAACAGAGAACACAGGTATAAATACACTGGGGATAATGGGGAAGATGGGCGACACCTGGAGGGGGGTGGAGACAATCACAAAGACAGGTGAAACAGATCAGGGTGTGACAGTTATTTCCCTTGACGGAGTGATGCTGAATGTAAAAAATGGCTCAACTTACCCCACTATCCCCTAATGAAATTAAAACTTGGACAGACTATTGCTTGCTAGTGTGCAACTGCTGCCAACAAACTATTGTTTTTTGTAGTATTTATTTTCATCCATTTCTCTCAGCTTCTCCTTCCACCATTTTCAAGCTTGACATGAATATATTGTATTCTTCTACAAGCTGGTGTGCTTACATTTTGTTAGATGATACAATTGATTGTGTTGTATTTTAGTAGAGATTGACTTGTGTTGGCTGTTATCAACTTTGGCCTCACTGCGTCTCCCACTGAATCATGTTTCTAAGACGTTGCAATGCAACCAGTACATTGGCAGGTTTGCAGTGTACTTGCGAGCAGCGTTTTTTCACTGTACTTCAGATATAGTTCAGACAGATAATGGAGAACTGATAAGATAGCAGCAGTGGGTCGGTCAGTGTCCCTGGTTTAGCATCCCTGTCTGATGAGTTCATACCTATTCATAAAATGATTGATAGATAGACTTATCTATGGCTCTGTAGTTTCCAAGACACTATCTCTAGGAGTTGTAAAGATGTGTGGAAATGAAGGAATTCAGTATGTTACTCGCGTGTACGATGGTCCTAGATTTAGATTTAGGGAAGTGCTGGGTGTTTACGTTAGGGTCCTATTTTTGTTTCTACCCTATTCCTCTGTGTGTAATTTTCATGGCATTTTTTCTAATGCCCTGCAGCTCTGTGTGTATAGTTTCCATCCCCCCAGCCCCCAATAACTGTAGGACACATGGGCAGACACACACACACACAGACAGGCACACACTGGCCCACTTGACACACACACACACAGGCATACAGGGAAGTCTGAAAGAAGGGTTCTTAATCTCCCAGGGTGTTGCCCACAAACACGCATGGAATGAACATTCAGACTCAAAGTATTTATTGTTGTTTTTGCCATGGGGGAGGGGCATGGATGGCTCTTGTCCAATGGCTGTCCAGTAATGCATGATTGACATGTTGTGTGAGCAGTCAGGGTTCTGCTCTGTACCTGAGAAGATGCTCTGGGAAGTAGGTTGCTTTTTTCCCCAGGAAGGATGAGACTTTATCTTACAGTGTTGTTTCAAAAGGTATTTATGGGAAGGTATTTCATAGGAAAATATGTGGTAATAATCTAATCTTATGTTGACGTCTGTGAAGTAACAGGTCTTCCTGGTACCTGTAGGCTACTTCACAGGCATCAACACAAATGCAGGTGCTTTTTGTAATTGTACATTACGCATGCTTTTTTTCCAGTGAACCCAAAGAAACCAAAATGAAGTGTGTGGTAATGACCAATCAGCCATTTTACAGTGATATTTCTAAATAAATGGCAGGTAAATAGTTCACAACTTCTACAGTCCACTATTTATAAAGTTTAGCTTAACTCTTGCCCATTGAGTAGGGATAGGCGGGCTGCGTAGATTTGTCTCTCTCTACAGAGGAAATGACTTGCACACTGAGGGACCGGCTTTATGACACAGTGAAATTATCTTCTGAGTGCTGGGCGGGGTGGATCATTTCCTGTATTGCTGAGCTCTAAGGGGAGATGAGCTGTGTGTGTGTGTGAGCGTGAACGTGTGTCTGTTTGTGTCAGAAAGCATGTCTGTGTGCTTTTTCTCCTCAAATAGTAGTTCTGTGTGAGGTACGTCCTTTATTGGGAAGTGGAGTGGAGATGATGAAACAGCTGGCATCAAGCTGTACAGTGTACGCTGACTTCTGTAGAAGGGGTGCGGGGAGAGACACACATAGGATCTGAAAGGTTATAGGAAGGTCTGTTGTAATGTTATTCTTGGCACATATGAAGATGAATGTTATAATGGTTGTAATGTTATTCTTGGCACATATGAAGATTAATGTTATAATGGTTGTAATGTTATTCTTGGCACAAATCGATATAACTTGTTGGTGTCAGAGAATGACAGCTGACAAGTCCACTGCCCTACTTGCTCTGCGTTTTATGCTTGTTATGAGTTATATCGATTTCACTTCAAAGTTATGGAATTTTTTATTAGATCATATTCTATGCCCAATTCCTGAATTAAATGAATTGAAATGGACACATATGTTATACCCAATTTTTGTGGCACTTAAATGTCCTCATTGTTTTGGGTAAAAAGTCTAATTGCACCCCAAAAGTAACACTCCCACATTCACTTTGCTTGATTGCATGTTTTATGTTGGTTTATCTTTTCCAATGAATGAGTTTTCTTTCTCTATTTCAGGATTCTATCAATGCCTTCGTTCTAGATCTAGACTACCCTGCCCTACGGAAAAACAAAAACGTAGAAACCTTTTTAAACAGATGTAAGTATGTTTGATAATAGTAATTGTGAATTTGTGTGTGGATGGCTGAATCATCTCTTCTCCACGCAGATGAGAAGGTGATGGGGCACATACGGGAGTTTCAGATGAAGTCTGAAGACTTTGACAGGGTGAAAGTGATCGGCAGAGGGGCCTTTGGGGAGGTTCAGCTGGTGAGATTTATTTACTTTTGTATTTCATCGAGATGTTAAGCACCTGCGTATTCAGTACACCACTTAGTTTTGACTCTCCCTCTGTCTCTTTTTCCATCTCTCTTTCTGTCTCTTTAATTCCTTTGTTTTCCCCAGGTTCGACACAAAGCCTCTCAGAAAGTGTACGCCATGAAGCTGCTGAGCAAGTTTGAGATGATCAAACGCTCCGACTCAGCCTTCTTCTGGGAGGAGAGGGATATTATGGCCTTCGCCAACAGTCCCTGGGTCGTACAAGTAAGACATGACACACACACCTATACACTCAACCGGGATTCGTCGGATCAGGAATTTTTTTTCCACTCCTTAGTTGTCCAGTGTTGGTGATCGCGTGCCCACTGGAGCTGCTTCTTCTTGTTTTTAGCTGATAGGAGTGGAACCCGGTGTGGTCGTCTGCTGCAATAGCCCATCCATGACAAGGACCGATGAGTTGTGTGTTCCGAGATGCCGTTCTGCACACCACTGTTGTTCTGCGACTTCTCATGAACTTGCTGTTTTTGCCCACAGGACTGCCACTGACTGGATGTTTTTTGTTTGTCGCACCTTTCTCTGTAAACCCTAGACACTGTCGTGCGTAAAAAGCCCAGGAGGCCGGCCGTTTATGAGATACTGGAACCGGCGCGCCTGACACCGACGATTATACCACACTAAGTCGCATAGGTCACTCGTTTTGCCCACGTTAAATCGAACAGTAACTTAATACCTTGTTGCCTGTCTGCCTGCTTTATATAGCATGCCACGTGACTCACTGTCTGTAGGAGCAAACCAATTTCGTGAACGGGTTGGTGTACTTAATAAACTGGCTACTGAGTGTATAATATATTGCATAACAAGACAAGACAAAAACATATTTTAAAACAATCTGCACAAACCATATCAAACCAGAATAGTTTGATGGAAGATAACCCTGTAACTTGTATTGTCTTTGCTTTCTGGTCTATGTCTAGTTGTGCTGTGCCTTCCAAGACGACCGCTACCTGTACATGGTGATGGAATACATGCCTGGAGGGGACCTGGTGAACCTCACCAGTACTTACGATGTGCCTGAGAAGTGGGCCAGGTTCTACACGGCCGAGGTGGTCATGGCATTGGATGCCATCCACTCCCTGGGCTTCATCCACCGCGACGTCAAGCCTGACAACATGCTCCTGGACCGCCACGGACACCTCAAACTGGCCGACTTCGGAACCTGCATGAAGATGGACTCTGTGAGGATAACATTTTCCCCTTGTTCCAGCTGTGCAGTGTGCTAAAGAGAGCATTACTCACAATACTTCCAGCGGAATATCTTGTGTCTCGCTGTGCTTTAAGTTAACACTTATCTGATAAGCGCTTATTAAAACTGAACTGTATATACTTGAGGATTCATACTTGATTTGCTTGAGAAAGTGTATCTAACTGAAGGATTGACTGGTTACAGACTGGGATGGTGCACTGTGACACAGCGGTTGGCACTCCAGACTACATCTCTCCTGAGGTTCTAAAGTCGCAGGGTGGAGATGGTTACTACGGACGGGAGTGTGACTGGTGGTCTGTAGGTGTCTTCATCTTCGAGATGCTAGTCGGTGAGTTGGTGTTGTCTAACACCTTGGTGTTCATGTTCCCGCTCTTTGTTTGTCACAAAAATAATGACTCAGAATCTTAGTTTACACTAACTGAAGGAAAGCCTTTTACTGGATGGTTTATCTAGAACTGAGATAATCAAGTCTGCCTATAAAAAGATATTGGAGAACTTGTAAGCAAATTGCTTATAAGTAAACATATTGTAACTATTTCTGTGCTATGTTCACATTAGGTGACACACCATTCTATGCCGACTCCCTTGTTGGAACATACAGCAAGATCATGGACCACAAGAATTCCCTCAACTTTCCAGATGACGTAGAGATCTCCAAAGATGCCAAAAACCTAATCTGTGCCTTCCTGACAGACAGGTAACAATTATTTAAAAAATAATAATTAACCACAGTTACAGATTTAAAGTTACAGTTTGCAATGTAATTTTTGTAGTTGTCCAGACTATATTCAGGCTGAACTATCCCAGCTTTCTCCCTGACCACTAACATACAGTGAGGGAAAAAAGTATTTGATCCCCTGCTGATTTTGTACGTTTGCCCACTGACAAAGAAATGATCAGTCTATAATTGTAATGGTAGGTTTATTTGAACAGTGAGAGACAGAATAACAACAAAAAAATCCAGAAAAAGGCATGTAAAAAATGTTATAAATTGATTTGCATTTTAATGACGGAAATAAGTATTTGACCCCCTCTCAATCAGAAAGATTTCTGGCTCCCAGGTGTCTTTTATACAGGTAACGAGCTGAGATTAGGAGCACACTCTTAAAGGGAGTGCTCCTAATCTCAGTGTGTTACCTGTATAAAAGACACCTGTCCACAGAAGCAATCAATCAATCAGATTCCAAACTCTCCACCATGGCCAAGACCAAAGAGCTCTCCAAGGATGTCAGGGACAAGATTGTAGACCTACATAAGGCTGGAATGGGCTACAAGACCATCGCCAAGCAGCTTGGTGAGAAGGTGACAACAGTTGGTGCGATTATTCGCAAATGGAAGAAACACAAAATAACTGTCAATCTCCCTCGGCCTGGGGCTCCATGCAAGATCTCACCTCTTGGAGTTGCAATGATCATGAGAACGGTGAGGAATCAGCCCAGAACTACACGGGAGGATCTTGTCAATGATCTCAAGGCAGCTGGGACCATAGTAACCTAGAAAACAATTGGTAACACACTACGCCGTGAAGGACTGAAATCCTGCAGCGCCCGCAAGGTCCCCCTGCTCAAGTAAGCACATATACAGGCCCGTTTGAAGTTTGCCAATGAACATCTGAATGATTCAGAGGAGAACTGGGTGAAAGTGTTGTGGTCAGATGAGACCAAAATCGAACTCTTTGGCATCAACTCAACTTGCCGTGTTTGGAGGAGGAGGAATACTGCCTATGACCCCAAGAACACCATTCCCACCGTCAAACATGGAGGTGGAAACATTATGCTTTGGGGGTGTTTTTCTGCTAAGGGGACAGGACAACTTCACTGCATCAAAGGGACGATGGACGGGGCCATGTACCGTCAAATCTTGGGTGAGAACCTCCTTCCCTCAGCCAGGGCATTGAAAATGGGTTGTGGATGGGTATTCCAGCATGACAATGACCCAAAACACACGGCCAAGGCAACAAAGGAGTGGCTCAAGAAGAAGCACATTAAGGTCCTGGAGTGGCCTAGCCAGTCTCCAGACCTTAATCCCATAGAAAATCTGTGGAGGGAGCTGAAGGTTCGAGTTGCCAAACGTCAGCCTCGAAACCTTAATGACTTGGAGAAGATCTGCAAAGAGGAGTGGGACAAAATCCCTCCTGAGATGTGTGCAAACCTGGTGGCCAACTACAAGAAACGTCTGACCTCTGATTGCCAACAAGGGTTTTGCCACCAAGTACTAAGTCATGTTTTGCAGAGGGGTCAAATACTTACATCCCTCATTAAAATGCAAATCAATTTATAACATTTTTGACATGCGTTTTTCTGGATTTTGTTGTTGTTATTCTGTCTCTCACTGTTCAAATAAACCTACCATTAAAATTATAGACTAAACATTTCTTTGTCAGTGGGCAAACGTACAAAATCAGCAGGGGATCAAATACTTTTTTCCCTCACTGTAAGTCTATGGCCCTTTATTTGGTGTTTAGGGAGGTGCGACTGGGACGCAATGGGGTGGAGGAGATCAAACGACACCCCTTTTTCAAGAATGACCAGTGGAACTTCGACAGCATCAGAAACAGTAGGTGTCTCTGCCGTACAGCCAAGTACATTTTATTTATTTATTTGAGCATACAAATTTGATAATTCTGTACAATAGAAAACATATTACATATGGTTACCTAGAAATTACATAAATAACATCAATATTTATTTATTTCTCTCCCTCCCACCTCCCCTCTCATTATATTGTTTAGCGGCGGCTCCTGTGGTTCCAGAGTTGAGCAGTGACATTGACACTAGCAACTTTGATGAGATAGAAGATGACAAGGGTGACGTGGAGACCTTCCCTACTCCTAAGGCCTTTGTGGGAAACCAGCTTCCTTTCGTCGGCTTCACATACTTCAAGGAGGACCAGTAAGGCTTCATGTCTTACTATTACAATCCTTCCTCATCATGGACAGTATTTTTAACTTAGTAACTCCTGTGTAGTGGATGGCTAAGTCTCACACAAGCTTTGATTATGTTAAGAAGTATTAATGTGTGTATGTGTATGAGCTGTTAGTTCTTCATCAAACACCAATGTGTTTCCTCCAGGTTACTAAGCGGTGTGAATAACTCTACAGTTGTGACCGTGAACTCAACAGCCTTGAAAGGAGAGGTGGGTACCTACTGCCTGTCCTATACCTTTAGTTCTCTTTCAATTATTTGTTTTGATATCACATGTGGGGGATTCGCTAGGATCACCTACTCTCGGAAGAACCAATCAAAAGCGTCTGTTGGAGACACAGGTAGAGTGGTGAATGAGGTGAGCCCCTCACGTTCCTTAAAAGGAGCCACTCCCCCACCCTCTGATTATTCTCGCTTCTCTTCATCACAAAGAGCATTAACATTACTCACTAGTGCTCAGATCGACTGGATGCCAGTTTTCCTGCTTAACCGCTCACAAGTGAACCGTGAAGGATATCGCTGCTGAGCGTAGGTCTCGAGAGGTTGAGTACTGACCGGAAGGTTTTAGTTTTGTGTAGAAATTACTTTTCTACTTCTGTCTCCGTTGGTAGGTTGCTTCACTTCCTTCAGTCGCAGGAGCACACTATCTGAAGGCTAACTCTGCCCCCACACGGTTGCCTTCAGCTAGCACTGAGCTAGCCCCGGCCACGTTTACTGCTAACTAGCTAACTTCACGGTGGAGCCGTCACTGGCTGACCAACTCAGCCCCTCGTGTTGTGTTACTAAAGACCTACTGGATGCCCCAGTGACACCCAAGGAGTTGTTCGGGCCTGCTGTTGCCGCCATGTGGCAGAAGTGTGACATGCACAAGAATGAAGGCGAAGCCCGTGGCAGCCCGTTGGTTCCTGCATCTCGCCCCAGCCTCACTGCTGGTAGGGGGTAACAAGCTGTCCTTGGGGGACTGAGGTCCCTGGTGACGCAGCAGTCTGCCAAGACTCAGACTAGGCCCCTGAACCAGGCCAAACCTGTAAAGAAGCAGTCTTACGCTGCAGCCGCAACAAAGATTTGCCTCTCTAACCCTCCTAAGGGAGATAAGAAGGGCCGGACAACCTAGGGCGTCTTAGGAGGATAGTGTGCAAGGCCTACTGCTCTCTGCCTTACTTTCGCTCTTCAGGTTTAACGTTTACTACTCCTTCCCCTCTCCAGGTTTCGCAGCAGTAAAACTAAACAAAAGAGACAGGACCGCGACCCTTGAAAAAGAGTCCCAGACCCTTATATATGCTCTGTTTTACAGTTGTTGCGTTTTTCTTGCAGAAGTGGTGTGACTAAACAAGTTGTTCATTCCTACACTCTATTTTATAGCCGCTTTCTTGACCTGCCAAGGCCCCGACAGTGATACAGTTTATCCGTAACTGTTGTGCAGTCTCTAAGGGTGGCATGTCGCTTACGCCCAGTCTCTAAGCCTTTAGCTGGTCCGGGGGAAGTGTCTATTGTGCTTAAGATCCTTTCACAGAATCTACTAGCCGCTGAAAAGCATGGAGGTGTAATATTCCTCCATCTTTCTCTTTACTACTGCCCTTAGCGTTCCACTGTTCGCGCCCGCAGTCTGCCCAGGGGTTTTTCAGGTTAATGCGCACATCCATCTTTGGCCCGGGTCGACTTTTTCCCATTGGCACACCTTGAAGTGTGCACCTTGGAGCCTATGGGAAACTAGCATTTTGACAAGCAGCACAACAATTCTTGCAATCGTCTTTCTATTCCTACTTTATTTATTTCTCAACTTCTAAATATTAATGAACTGTACCATTTTAAACCTGTATTTTTTTTGTTTTTTTTGCAGCATGGTTAAGCATGTGAGTGCATAGGGGAGAGTGGGGCTAAATGTAACACGGGTCAATTGTAGGGTAACTTGAGGTAAAACATCACCCTACCTCAATTTTTTGGGGGGAGTGATTAAAAAAATTGTGATGAGACAGATCACATTTTTATTTGAGCAACAGTAATGGCAACCAGAGAAAGTGTTGGGGGGGGGGGGGTGGCGGGTTACCCTAACAGGTAGGCCTATATTATATAGATTTTTTTGGGGGGACACAACATTTATTAATAGGATGCTAACTAGTTAAATATCACATTTGGGATCTGGCTAATGATTAGCCCAATAGGGTAAATGCAGATAGACAACCCCATGCTTCAGCCTATTTATTTAAAGCCACTATGCTGTTTCAGCTGGGCTACAAGTGATAATTGTTATTGCTAATAGCATACCTGATAATATGAACCATGCATAAGCTATATGCATGGTCCAATATGTACAAATATTTTTAGCAAATAATTTTACCAATATGTTATTGGGCTCATTTCTGGAGGTGGAAATTCTATTTTAGATGGTGTCAGCATAATTTTATTTTCATTCATTTTGGAGTTTAATGTCCTTTTAAAAAGTCACCAGAATGGAGCTTCTCCGTCCTTTATACATAGAAATTGTCCAGGGTGGGTCCCTGGACCCTCAAAACAGAGTTGAATGGGTCCCCCCTCTGCTATACATTTTTCCATAGGAAACACTGCCTCTCCTACGGAGGAGTTGACCTATTGGGCACTGTTCTTGGGACATATCTCATTAAATGGGATAGTGGCTCCTTTTAAGGAAGGTGAGGGGCTCACCTCATTCGCCACTCTACTTGTCTGTCTCCAACAGACGCTTTTGATATGTTCATCCGAGAGTAGGCGATCCTAGCGAATCCCCCACATGAGATATCTCACTCATAATATCAGAGAACCAATACAGTAGTACAGTACAGTAAAGAAAAGTAGTGTTTAGTACAGTAGAGTACAGTATATATTTGTTCTGTCCAAGCCCGTTATATGATACCGTCCATGATCAGTTCAAGTCTGACTGAACATTCCATCACCAGGTTTCACCTGCATGCTTCCATGGCTTACTCACTTGCATTTCCTAGGTACAGTGGCTTGCGAAAGTATTCACCCCCCTTGGCATTTTTCCTATTTTGTTGCCTTACAACCTAAAATTGATTTTGGGAGATTTGTACCATTTGATTTACACAACATGCCTACCAATTTGAAGATGCAAAATATGTTTTGTGTGTGAAACGTACAAGAAATAAGACCAAAAAAAAACAGAAAATACTTTGTAGAGCCATCTTTTGCAGCAATTACAGCTGCACGTCTCTTGGGGTATGTCTCTATAAGCTTGGCACATCTAGCCACTGGGAGTTTTGCCCATTCTTCAAGGCAAAACTGCTCCAGCTCCTTCAAGTTGGATGGGTTCTGCTGGTGTACAGCAATCTTTAAGTCATACCACAGATTGTCAATTGGATTGAGGTCTGGGCTTTGACTAGGCCGTTCCAAGACATTTAAATGTTTCGCCTTAAACCACTCAAGTGTTGCTTTATGAGTATGCTTAGGGTCAATGTCTTGCTGGAAGGTGAACCTCCGTCCCAGTCTCAAATCTCTGGAAGACTGAAACAGGTTTTCCTCAAGAATTTCCCTGTATTTAGCGCCATCCATTATTCCTTCAATTCTGAGCAGTTTCCCAGTCTCTGCCGATTAAAAACATCCCCACAGCATGAAGCTGCTACCACCATGCTTCACTGTGGGGATGGTGTTCTCGGGGTGATGAGAGGTGTTGGGTTTACGCCAGACATAGCGTTTTCCTTGATGGCCAAAAAGCTCAATTTTAGTGTCATCTGACCAGAGTACCTTCTACCATATGTTTGAGGAGTCTCCCATATGGCTTTTGGCGAACACCAAACGTGTTTGCTTAGTTTTTTTCTTTAAGCAATGGCTTTTTTCTGGCCACTCTTCCGTGAAGCCCAACTCTGTGGAGTGTACGGCTTAAAGTGTTCCTATGGACAGATATTCCAATCTCCTCTGTGGAGCTTTGCATCTCCTTCAGGGTTATCTTTGGTCTCTTTGTTGCCTCTCTGATTAATGCCCTCCTTGCCTGGTCTGTGAGTTTTGTTGGGCGGCCCTCTCTTGGCAGGTTTGTTGTGGTGCCATATTCTTTCCATTTTTTAATCATGGATTTAATGGTGCTCTGTGGGATGTTCAAAGTTTCTGATATTTTTTTATAACCCAACCCTGATCTGTACTTCTCCACAACTTTGTTGAAGACTCTGGGGCCTTTCAGAACAGGTGTATATATACTGAGATCATGTGACAGATCATGTGACACTTAGATTGCACACAGGTGGACTTTATTTAACTAATTATGTGACTTCTGAAGTTAATTGGTTTCACCAGATCTTATTTAGGGGCTTTATAGCAAATTGGGTGAATACAGATGCACACACCACTTTTCCGTTATTTTTAATTGTAAATTTTTTTAAACAAGTTTTTTTTTCATCTCACTTCACCAATTTGGACTATTTTGTGTATGTTCATTACATGAAATCCAAATGAAAATCCATTTAAATTACAAGTTGTAATGCAAACAAAATAGGAAAAACACCAAGGGGGATGAATACTTTTGCAAGGCACTGTAAGTTATGTAATTATATTTTACATTTACATTTTACATTTTAGTCATTTAGCAGACGCTCTTATCCAGAGCGACTTACAGTTAGTGAATACATATATATATTTTTTTATACTGGCCCCCCGTGGGAATCGAACCCACAACCCTGGCGTTGCAAACGCCATGCTCTATCAACTGAGCTACATCCCTGCCGGCCATTCCCTCCCCTACCATGGGCCAATTGTGCGCCGCCCATGAGTCTCCCGGTCGCGGCCGGCTGCGACAGAGCCTGGATTCGAACCAGGATCTCTAGTGGCACAGTCAGCACTGCGATGCAGTGCCTTAGACCACTGCGCCACTCAGGAGCATATGAATCTAACGCAACGCTAAAATAACAATGTCATAACAGGTCATAACAATATAATTCCTTTGTTTGGCTCAAGAGTTGTACACAATAATTTGTCAGGTTCTTAGCGATACTGAAACACTTACGAGGCTTTGCTTCAGTAGCTAAACAACAAGCTAATCCCGTGAAAGCTGTCAGCTCATTGACTTTTGTGCTGACTGAAATTGTTTTGCCGAGCGAGTTAAATGGATTTCTTATCTGTTGCAGGATATTGTGATGTTAAGCGTTCTCTTTCTCTTTAATCATAGCTCTTCGGTATTGATTTCACTTGTTTATGGCTTTGAAAAAACAAGGTTAAATTGTGGAAAAATTATACACTATAGTTTTAGAGCAGAATCCAGGTGAAGTGTATTGTAACAGTTGCGACGCCTCCTCCTCCCTCCTTCCCCTCTTCCTCAAGTCGGCCAAGCTACAGAAGAAACTCCACCAGCTGGAAGAGCAGCTCAATAATGAGATGCAGACCAAAGATGAGCTGGAGCACAAGTGCAGGTAGACACGGCATGCCCTGGCCTCATACACACACAATACACCTTCTACTACTACTTGCTATGTGAGTTAGTCATGTTGTTTGTGATATGCGGCGCTGAGAATAGTGACATCCACTGCTCTGTTCTCTTCCTGTAGAACCTCCACCAGTCGTCTGGAGAAAATCTCCAAAGAACTTGATGAAGAGGTGAGAACTTTGGAGCTACAGTAGCAATATAGCATACAACTATAGCACATAACTGATAAAAATGTAAACCAATAAATAATTAGTTGTGCCCTTCCAACACTGACCTTTGTGGCGGTGCATTGACAGATGAGTAGCAGGAAGGCTCTGGAGTCGAGTCTAAGGCAGCTGGAGAGAGAGAAGGCTCTACTGCAGCACAAGACCGTGGAGAGCCACCGCAAGGCAGAAAGCGAGGCCGACCGGAAACGCTGCCTGGAGAACGAGGGTGAGACCGCTGGCTGAACACACACACACACACACACACACACACACACACACACACACACACACACACACACACACAGTATACTTTCATATCTAACTTGTGATGTGATCTGCAGTCAACAGCCTACGAGACCAGCTGGACGATATGAAGAAAAGAAATCAGAACTCGCACATATCCAACGAGAAGAACATTCACTTACAAAGACAGGTGTGTGTTTGTTTTTTATAAAATAACTGTGTTTAAGTGCTAGCCTGTGTGTTTATGTGCATGTGTTTATATTTGTGATTGGAATGCACATTACTAAAGTGTGTGTAAGTGACGTGTTGTCCATATTCCTCCAGCTGGACGAGGCCAATGCTCTGCTGCGTGCGGAGCAGGAGGCGGCTACGCGGCTAAGGAAGGCCCAGACGGAGGCAGGCAAGCAGCTGCAGGCTCTGGAGGCCGGGGGCAGAGAGCTGCAGGACAAGTGCTGCCTGCTGGAGCGCTCCAAACTCACTCTGGAGAAGGAGTGTATCGGGCTGCAGGCAGCACTAGAGGCTGAGAGGAGAGAGCACAGCCAGGGCTCCGAGACCATTGCAGACATGCAGGGTGAGTGGGGATTGTGTTTGTGTGCGAGAGACTGTGTGTTTATTCATGATTTAGCCTTTGGTGACATTTCTTTGTCTCTGTAGGGCGAATCTCAGGGCTGGAGGATGAGGTTCGGCAGGTGAGACAGGCCCTATCCAAAGCAGAATCAGAGAAGAGACAACTACAGGAGAAACTCACTGACCTGGAGAAGGTAAACTTCCACACTTTCTTATGCTCTTACCCTCTCTATTTTATGCACTCTCACTTTCTAACCTTGTCTCTCTCTTCTACTCTCCCGTAGGAGAAGAACAACAAGGAGATAGACATGACGTACAAGCTGAAGGTGTTGCAGCAGGGGCTGGAGCAGGAGGAGGCGTCGCACAAAGCCACCAAGGCACGGCTCGCAGACAAGAGCAAGATCGAGTCGATCGAGGGTGCCAAGTCTGAGGCCATGAAGGGTAAGGCCCTTCCTGAGTTATCAGGTATGACAAAGGACAGGAATCAGTCTTCGGTAAAGAAACTAGACTGTGGTCAGCAGGGTCAAATCCAATTAATTAAATCACTCTTCTCCCTCTCTCCCCTTCCCCCAGACATGGAGCAGAAGCTGCAGGAGGAGAGGGCGTCCAAGCTGCGTGTGGAGAACAGGATGTTGGAGCTGGAGAAACACAGCAGCATGCTGGATTGTGACTACAAGCAGTCCCTACAGAAACTGGACGAGCTCCGCAGGCACAAGGAGAGGCTCACCGAGGAGGTGAAGAACCTGACTCTGAAGATCGAGCAGGAGACCCAGAAGCGCAGTCTGACCCAGAATGACCTGAAGGTCCAGAACCAGCAGCTCAACACCCTGAAGACCTCCGAGAAGCAGCTGAAACAGGAGGCTAACCACCTGCTGGAAATCAAACGCAGCCTGGAGAAACAAAACCAGGAGCTACGCAAGTAAGTCAGCATATTTTTCTCCTTCTTTTATGTTTTACTTTTTAATTTTTTGCAAATAATAATGCTGAGAGAAAATGTCAACACAATAAAACAATAAACTGAAAGGATTAATTTGCGTTTGTGTCCACAGAGAAAGGCAGGACTCGGACGGCCAAATGAAGGAACTTCAGGACCAGCTAGAGGCTGAGCAGTATTTTTCGGTAAGTCTGCTGCAGCTATAACACTTTATTTGATCGTCTTTGAGCGAGGAATCCTAACTTGAGATAACTTGGACCCTGTGTATACTTTATTGCATTGAATTTGTGATTGCTCATATTTTTGTGTTGCCCAGACGCTGTATAAGACCCAGGTGCGGGAGTTGAAGGAGGAATGCGAAGAGAAGAGCAAGCTCTACAAGGATATGCAGCAATCACTTCAGGAGTTACAAGAGGAGAGGTGAGTACAAGGAAGTGGCCTGGCCCTGCACTGTTTACTGACACTCTAGTCTACAACTCCAGTCCTGCTAACTTATAAACATCTGCCCAGAGATCCAGAAGAGGATGGGCTTCTTTAGGGTCTGGTTCAAGCTTTCTTCCTCCTTACGGAGTTCTTGTAATATACATCGTTATTGATTTATTTACACGAACAACACAAAAACTAACACAACCAACACCCATGTTCAATGCTACATAATGTGACAAGCTTGACCTGTGACCCCTCAGGGACTCCCTGGCGGCGCAGCTGGAGATCACACTGACCAAGGCAGACTCGGAGCAGCTGGCTCGCTCCATCGCTGAGGAGCAGTACTCAGACCTGGAGAAGGAGAAAATCATGAAGGAGCTGGAGCTCAAGGAGATGATGGCCCGCCACAAGCAGGAGCTGGTCGAGAAGGACATTACCATTGGCTCGGTGAGTCAGCTCTTGTTCTTCTGTTTCTGGAGGGCCGCGGGGGCTGCATTGGGCATGGGCTTTTGTCCTAGCTTAGTGCTTTAGAAAACACAGAATTCAACTGATCGAATAATCATCAAGAACTTGATACGCTTAATCAGGTGTGCTTGTGTGCTAGTATTGGGCTGGGACTATAGCTAGGACCAGGAGTGAACATCAACGGAATTGAGTATTGTAACCAATAGATCTGTGAGTCTGACTATGAGGTGACACCTGCTGGGCCCTGAGAATGCTTGCTGCAGCTGAATACTATCAAATTGGATTTGTCTCACTTTTTGTCTGCTCCTTCCTGCCCAGCTGGAGGAGGCCAACCGAACCCTCACTAGCGATGTGGCCAACTTAGCCAATGAGAAGGAGGAGCTCAACAACAAACTCAAGGAGACACTTGAAGGTGAGTTTCTGCCTCCAGCCTGTGTACGTGTGCATGTGTATGTGGTTGGTAAAAAGCCTAATAACTATTTCTGTTCAACATTAGATTTTAACATTCTATTATTCTATTTGTGATGTGTTCAGAGCTGCAAACGTCCAAGGATGACGAGCAGCATATGAGCCAGATGAAGCTCACGTTTGAGAAGCAGCTCCAGTCAGAGAGAACACTAAAGACCCAGGTAGGCTGATTTAATATAATTTCTTCCTAGCTTTACAATGTTGCGTAGCAAGGAAATCGTGTTGAAGACACTTGTTTTTGTCTATTGTTTTTTATGCTCATCATGAATATTTATTGTCTTGTGTGTGTCTCAGGCTGTGAACAAGCTGGCGGAGATCATGAACAGGAAGGAGGTACGTGCAGCAGGCAGTCGGCGCGGCAACGACACTGATGTGCGGAGGAAGGAGAAGGAGAACAGGAAGCTGCAGCTGGAGCTGAGGTCGGAGAAGGAGAAACTCAACTCCACCATCATCAAGTACCAAAGAGAGATCAACGACATGCAGGCGGTCAGTCAAACCACAACATAACCACAACCTTATACTAACCATCACACAACCACCTGTACAGCACCATTATTAATTACTAGAGGGAGATTAACGACATTCAGGTGGTCAGTCACACCAAGAGAGATCAACAAAGTTAACAGGGGCTTCAAACTAACAATATACAGACATTTCAAATGTATGTTTCCTTTTCCCCTGTTTGTGTCAAATAGCAAATAGCAGATGAGAGTCAGGTACGCATCGAGCTGCAGATGGCCCTGGACAGTAAGGACAGTGACATAGAGCAGCTACATAACCTCCTCAGCTCCGCCAACGTCTCCTCCCTAGAATCAGCCAGCCTCAGCAGTGGACCAGACTTTGACACGGACGATGCCTACGCAGGTAAGGAGGACCCATTTATGTGTGTTCAAACACTATGTACATGCAGTCCTGTTCACATAGCCTTGTACCTCGTATGTATGTTTTATATTGACTTTTGGTTATTTTTGGTGACTTGGACTGTCTTGTCCTGGAGTGCCACCTATCTTTCCTTTTGTCTTTGGCATCTGATTGTTTTTGACTTGTGTTGTCCAGTTGCCAGTATGAGTACAGACTCACTATAATAGGCTACTGATTACTCTGATGATTTGCGTGATTTATACATTTATTGATTAATTTGATTTGATTGATATTTTGTCCATCATGAAGGATAACCTCTCTGGAGCAGAAACATAAACCATTAAACCTTATGTTTTTGAGGTTGAGTCTATCTATAATGTGTGCAGAGTGCTGCGATCATTTGATGCATCTACCGTTTACATTATTTTGTGGATTGAAATAGAAAATGCTATGTTTCCTGGGAATATGTACAAACTGTGAAGCATGTAGATCTGTCACAACATTGCCCTGCTGTTTTAATGTTTCACCCCTCTTTCTCTATCTTAGAAATGAGACTAGCGGGATGGCTCTCGCTGCCTGTGAGGAACAACACCAAGAAGTTTGGATGGGAGAGAAAGGTGAAGAAAAGATTTACAACCTGGCTTTACTGATCAAACATTCTGTAGTTAATATTGTTGTTCTACTGTTAAAGGTATTGTTTCTTGTCTCTTTTTAGTATGTAGTTGTGAGCAGCAAGAAGATTCTGTTCTATAACAGCGAACAGGACAAAGAGCTATCCAACCCCTACATGGTGCTGGATATTGAGTGAGTAACGACTATCTACCTGCTCTTCTTAATTCAATTCAAAGCATCATGCTAATACAGATATACACTTACTCTTTTCCAGAAAGCACACCAGATATACCCTGGCATTATGTGCCTGAGTGAATGTACACTATGGACAAAATGTTTTTTGTCCATTGTGTACTTCCGTTTGCGGAATATTTAGATAAATCCTGGAATAAAAGAAAAAGGGCTACCTATAATTAAATTACAAAAATATTTAGCTTCTGGGTGGTAAATGGCACGTGTGTATATAGATTGTGTATAGGCTTGTCTCCCACATGAATCTTCTCTTGGTGCCAGACTGGGTTCAAATGCCTTCTGTTTAATTTTTCTGTATTTATTTATCTGTATGTATGTACAGTGAGGGGAAAAAAGTATTTGATCCCCTGCTGATTTTGTACGTTTGCCCACTGACAAAGACATGATCAGTCTATAATTAGGTAGGTTTATTTGAACAGTGAGAGACAGAATAACAACAACAAAAAAATCCTGAAAAACGCATGTCAAAAATGTTATAAATTGATTTGCATTTTAATGAGGGAAATAAGTATTTGACTCCTCTGCAAAACATGACTTAGTACTTGGTGGCAAAACCCTGGTTGGCAATCAGAGGTCAGACGTGTCTTGTAGTTGGCCACCAGGTTTGCACACATCTCAGGAGGGATTTTGTTCCACTCCTCTTTGCAGATCTTCTCCAAGTCATTAAGGTTTCGAGCCTGACGTTTGGCAACTCGAACCTTCAGCTCCCTCCACAGATTTTCTATGGGATTAAGGTCTGGAGACTGGCTAGGCCACTCCAGGACCTTAATGTGCTTCTTCTTGAGCCACTCCTTTGTTGCCTTGGCCGTGTGTTTTGGGTCATTGTCATGCTGGAATAGCCATCCACGACCCATTTTCAATGCCCTGGCTGAGGGAAGGAGGTTCTCACCCAAGATTTGACGGTACATGGCCCCGTCCATCGTCCCTTTGATGCGGTGAAGTTGTCCTATCCCCTTAGCAGAAAAACACCCCCAAAGCATAATGTTTCCACCTCCATGTTTGACGTGGGGATGGTGTTCCTGGGGTCATAGGCAGCATTCATCCTCCTCCAAACACGGCGAGTTGAGTTGATGCCAAAGAGATCGATTTTGGTCTCATCTGACCACAACACTTTCACTCAGTTCTCCTCTGAATCATTCAGATGTTCATTGGCAAACTTCAGACGGGCCTGTATATGTGCTTTCTTGAGCAGGGGGACCTTACGGGTGCTGCAGGATTTCAGTCCTATACAGCGTAGTGTGTTACCAATTGTTTTCTTGGTGACAAGATACTCCCGTGTAGTTCTGGGCTGATTCCTCACCGTTCTCATGATCATTGCAACTCCACGAGGTGAGATCTTGCATGGAGCCCCAGGCCGAGGGAGATTGACAGTTCTTTAGTGTTTATTCGTTTTATTATAGACTGATCATTTCTTTGTCAGTGGGCAAATGTACAAAATCAGCAGGGGATCAAATACATTTTTCCCTCACTGTATGTATGTATGTATGTAGGTATGTATGTATGTATAGTACCAGTCAAAACGTTGGACACACCTACTCATTCCAGGGTTTTTCTGTATTTGTACTATGTTCTACATTGTAGAATAATAGTGAAGACATCAAAACTATGAAATAACACATATGGAATCATGTAGTAACCAAACAAGTGTTAAACAAATCAAAATATATTTTATATTTCAGATTCTTCAAATAACCACCCTTTGCCTTAATGACAGCTTTGCACACTCTTTGCATTCTCTCAACCAGCTCCACCTGGAATGCTTTTCCAACAGTCTTGAAGGAGTTCCCACAAATGCTGAGCACTTGTTGGCTGCTTTTCCTTCACTTTGCGGTCATCCCAAACCATCTCAATTGGCTTGAGGTCGGGGGATTGTGGAGGCCAGGTCATCTGATGCAGCACTCCATCACTCTCCTTCTTGGTAAAATAGCCCTTACACAGCCTGGAGGTGTGTTGGGTCATTGTCCTGTTGAGAAACAAATGATAGTCCCACTAAGCCCAAACCAGATGGGATGACATATCTCTGCAGAATGCTGTGGTAGCCATGCTAGTTAATTCTAAATAAATCACAGACAGTGTCACCAGCAAAGCACCCCCACACCATAACACCTCCTCCTTCATGCTTTACGGTGGGAAATACACATGCGGAGATCATCCGTTCACCCACACCACGTCTCACAAAGACACGGAGGTTGGAACCAAAAACCTCCAATTTGGACTCCAGACCAAAGGACAAATTTCCACTTGTCCATTGCTCGTGTTTTTTGGACCAAGCAGGTCTCTTCTTATTATTGGTGTCCTTTAGTAGTGGTTTCTTTGCAGCAATTTTACCATGAAGGCCTGATTCACGCAGTCTCCTCTGAAAAGTTGATGTTGAGATGTGTCTGTTACTTGAACTTTGTGAAGCATTTATTTGGGCTGCAATTTCTGAGGCTGGTAACAATAATGAACTTATCCTCTGCAGCAGAGGTAACTCTGGGTCTTCCTTTCCTGTGGCGGTCCTCATGAGAGCCAGTTTCATCATAGCGCTTGATGGTTTTTGCGACTGCACTTGAAGAAACTTTCAAAGTTCTTGACATATTCCGTATTGACTGACCTTCATGTCTTAAAGTAATGTGAACTGTCGTTTCTCTTTGCTTATTTGAGCTGTTCTTGCCATAATATGGACTTAGTCTTTTACCAAATATGGCTATCTTCTGTATACCACCCCTACCTTGTCACAACACAACTGATTAGCTCAAACGCATTAAGAAGGAAAGAAATTCCACAAATTAACTTTTTTTTAAAGGCACACCTGTTAATTGAAATGCATTCCAGGTGACTTACTCATGAAGCTGGTTGAGAGAATGCCAAGAGTGTGCAAAGCTGTCATCAAGGCAAAGGGTGGCTATTTGAAGAATCTCAAATACAACATATCTTTTGATTTGTTTAAGACTTTTTTTGGTTACTACATGATTCCATATGTGTTATTTCATAGTTAGGTATCTTCACTATTATTCTACAATGTAGAAAATAGTAAAAAATGAAGAAAAACCCTTGAATGAGTAGGTGTGTCCAAATTTTTGGCTGGTACTGTATGTACAGTTGAAGTCGGAAGTTTACATACACCTTAGCCAAATACATTTAAACTCAGTTTTTCACAATTCCTGACATTTAATCCTAGTAAAAATTCCCTGTTTTAGGTCAGTTAGGATTACCACTTTATTTTAAGAATGTGAAATGTCAGAATAACAGCAGAGAGAATGATTTATTTAAGCTTTTATTTATTTCATCACATTTCCAGTGGGTCAGAAGTTTACATACACTCAATTAGTATTTGGTAGCATTGCCTTTAAATTGTTTAACTTGGGTCAAACGTTTCGGGTAGCCTTCCACAAGCTTCCCACAATAAGTTGGGTGAATTTTGACCCATTCCTCCTGACAGAGCTGGTGTAACTGAGTCAGGTTTGTAGGCCTCCTTGCTCGCACACGCTTTTTCAGTTCTGCCCACAAATGTTCTATAGGATTGATGTCAGGGCTTTGTGATTGCCACTCCAATACCTTGACTTTGTTGTCCTTAAGCCATTTTGCCACAACTTTGGAAGGATGCTTGGGGTCATTGTCCATTTGGAAGACCCATTTGCAACCAAGCTTTAACTTCCTGACTGATGTCTTGAGATGTTGCTTCAATATATCCACCTAATTTTCCTTCCTCATGATGCCATCTATTTTGTGAAGTGCACCAGTCCCTCCTGCAGCAAAGCACCCCCACAGCATGATGCTGCCACCCTCGTGCTTCACGGTTGTGATGGTGTTCTTTGGCTTGCAATCTTCCCCCTTTTTCCTCCAAACATAACGATGGTCATTATGGCCAAACAGTTCTATTTTTGTTTAATCAGACCAGAGGACATTTCTCCAAGAAGTACGATCTTTGTCCCAATGTGCAGTTGCAAACCGTAGTCTGTCTTTTTTATGCCGGTTTTGGAGCAGTGGCTGCTTCCTTGCTGAGCGGCCTTTCAGGTTATGTCGATATAGGACTCGTTTTACTGTGGATATAGATACTTTTGTACCTGTTTCCTCCAGCATCTTCACAAGGTCCTTTGCTGTTGTTCTGGGATTGATTTGCACTTTTCGCAACAAAGTACGTTCATCTCTAGGTATGACGGCTGCGTGGTCCCATGGTGTTTATACTTGCATACTATTGTTTGTACAGATGAACGTGGTACCTTCAGGCGTTTGGAAATTGCTCCCAAGGATGAACCAGACTTGTGGAGGTTTACAATTATTTTTCTGAGGTCTTGGCTGATTTCTTTAGATTTTCCCATGATGTCAAGCAAAGAGGCACTGAGTTTGAAGGTAGGCCTTGAAATACATCTACAGGTACACCTCCAATTGACTCAAATTATGTCAATTAGCCTATCAGAAGCTTCTAAAGCCATGACATCATTTTCTGGAATTTTCCAAGCTGTTTAAAGGTGCAGTCAACTTAGTGTATGTAAACCTCTGACCCACTGGAATTGTGATACAGTGGGGGGAAAAAGTATTTAGTCAGCCACCAATTGTGCAAGTTCTCCCACTTAAAAAGATGAGAGAGGCCTGTAATTTTCATCATAGGTACACGTCAACTATGACAGACAAAATGAGGGAAAAAAATCCAGAAAATCACATTGTAGGATTTTTTATGAATTTATTTGCAAATTATGGTGGAAAATAAGTATTTGGTCAATAACAAAAGTTTCTCAATACTTTGTTATATACCCTTTGTTGGCAATGATACAGGTCAAACGTTTTCTGTAAGTCTTCACAAGGTTTTCACACACTGTTGCTGGTATTTTGGCCCATTCCTCCATGCATATCTCCTCTAGAGCAGTAATGTTTTGGGGCTGTCGCTGGGCAACACGGAATTTCAACTCCCTCCAAAGATTTTCTATGGGGTTGAGATCTGGAGACTGGCTAGGCCACTCCAGGACCTTGAAATGCTTCTTACGAAGCCACTCCTTCATTGCCCGGGCGGTGTGTTTGGGATCATTGTCATGCTGAAAGACCCAGCCACGTTTCATCTTCAATGCCCTTGCTGATGGAAGGAGGTTTTCACTCAATATCTCACGATACATGGCCCCATTCATTCTTTCCTTTACACGGATCAGTCGTCCTGGTCCCTTTGCAGAAAAACAGCCCCAAAGCATGATGTTTCCACCCCCATGCTTCACAGTAGGTATGGTGTTCTTTGGATGCAACTCAGCATTCTTTGTCCTCCAAACACAACGAGTTGAGTTTTTACCAAAAAGTTATATTTTGGTTTCATCTGACCATATGACATTCTCCCAATCCTCTTCTGGATCATCCAAATGCACTCTAGCAAACTTCAGACGGGCCTGGACATGTACTGGCTTAAGCAGGGGGACACGTCTGGCACTGCAGGATTTGAGTCCCTGGCGGCGTAGTGTGTTACTGATGGTAGGCTTTGTTACTTTGGTCCCAGCTCTCTGCAGGTCATTCACTAGGTCCCCCCGTGTGGTTCTGGGATTTTTGCTCACCGTTCTTGTGATCATTTTGACCCCACGGGGTGAGATCTTGCGTGGAGCCCAAGATCGAGGGAGATTATCAGTGGTCTTGTATGTCTTCCATTTCCTAATAATTGCTCCCACAGTTGATTTCTTCAAACCAAGCTGCTTACCTATTGCAGATTCAGTCTTCCCAGCCTGGTACATGTCTACAATTTTGTTTCTGGTGTCCTTTGACAGCTCTTTGGTCTTGGCCATAGTGGAGTTTGGAGTGTGACTGTTTGAGGTTGTGGACAGGTGTCTTTTATACTGATAACAAGTTCAAACAGGTGCCATTAATACAGGTAACGAGTGGAGGACAGAGGAGCCTCTTAAAGAAGAAGTTACAGGTCTGTGAGAGCCAGAAATCTTGCTTGTTTGTAGGTGACCAAATACTTATTTTCCACCATAATTTGCAAATAAATTAATAAAAAATCCTACAATGTGATTTTCTGAAAAAAATCTTCTCAATTTGTCTGTCATAGTTGACGTGTACCTATGATGAAAATTACAGGCCTCTCTCATCTTCGTAAGTGGGAGAACTTGCACAATTGGTGGCTGACTAAATACTTTTTTCCCCCACTGTATAAGCGAAATAATCTGTCTGTAAACAATTGTTGGAAAAAATTACTTGTGTCATGCACAAAGTAGATGTCCTAACCGACTTGCCAAAACTATAGTTTATTAACAAGAAATTTGTGGATTGGTTGAAAAACAAGTTTTAATGACTCCAACCTAAGTGTATGTAAACTTCCAACTTCAACTTTATGTATGTATGTAAATTTTTTACTGCTCTAGGGATATAATTATTGTTTGGATAACCTTATTTACTATTATTTATTGACTTTTATCTTACATTTTTTCACTCTTTATGCAATGGACACTGCAGAGAACACCGGAAGAAGAATTATCACTGAATTATCACAGTGAATTATTGTAATGTTTGTTTATGTGTCAATTAATCCCCTAAGGGATGGGTTGCCGATTGGTGATTTGACATGAAAATATAATTGAATTAATTCAACATTTCATTCAATAACTGTAGTTAATGATTTTTACCTTCAACATAATTTTTTTTTTTGTTCTCTTCCTTTTCTTCTCTTTTCAGTAAACTCTTCCACGTGCGGCCTGTCACTCAAACTGATGTTTACCGTGCTGACGCCAAAGAGATCCCCAGGATATTCCAGGTCCCTTGCTTGTCATGGCTCTTTATTCATGCATTTATTTAACAATTCATGTGATGGGGCTAGTTCATAATGTTGATGATGATAATGATGATTGACAATGACCATGATGACCTTTTCCTTCTCTCCTCAGATTCTATATGCCAATGAGGGTGAGTGTAAGAAGGAGCCTGAGTTCCCAGTGGAGCTGGTCAGCGGAGAGAAGTCCAGCTACATCTGCCACAAGGGCCACGAGTTCATCCCTACCCTCTACCACTTCCCCACCAACTGTGAGGCGTGCACCAAGCCCCTGTGGAACATGTTTAAGCCTCCGCCCGCCCTGGAGTGCAGGCGCTGCCACATCAAGTGCCACAAGGACCACATGGACAAGAAGGAGGAGATCATCGCGCCCTGCAGAGGTAGGGGTGTGGGGGGTGTGGTGTCGTTGCTTATAGCAGAGCAGGGTTACATAGACGCATATAAAGACATTGTCAGGGACATATCAAGGGATGGTTAGGAGTTGAGGTGTGCACCGCTGTTTTCTATGTTTGCACAGTTATTTTGTTCTTAAACACAATACAAACCCTTCCCTTTGTCCCACTGCAGTGAACTATGACGTGTCCACGGCCAAGAACCTGCTGCTGCTGGCCGTGTCTCAGGAGGAACAGCAGAAGTGGGTGGGACGTCTGGTCAAGAAGATCCCCAAGAAGCCACCGGCCCCTGAGCACTTTGCCCGCTCCTCGCCACGTGCCTCCATGAAGGTCCAGTCCAGCCAGTCCATGAGACGGCCCAGCAGACAGCTGCCCCCCAGCAAGAGCAGGTAAGACCACTTGCCAGACGTAGACTAACCTTACACCTATCAAATACTTAGATGTGAAAAGAATGTGACTAGTACTCTGTGCTTAAGGGCCATGCTCATTACCACTTCCCTCTTTCAGACTGCTCGACATTGGCCTATAGGACTGACATTGGGCATTACATGATATCGATGATGCATTTGATTTCTGATGAGCAGATAGGGTAAAAGCCTGGGTAAATCCCTGGTAAGGCGTGTTGTGCAGTGAGTTTGGTTGTATTGGAATAGGACTCGTATATTCCCTTCTGAATATTGTTTATTCCTATATTTCTTTAATCTATTGCCTGGCTTTCTTGAGCCATGCCCAAGAGGTGGTTTGTGTACCTGAATTTGAGAAAATAAATGTGCATGTGTTCTCTTGTAGTCTCCGTAGTTGTATATGTCAGGAAAGAAGATTTTTACAAACGCTTTTAGGTTTCCAGGAACCCTACAGCCTCCTCCTGAACCCTGTGTGACCTTTGCCCTCTGACCTCAGTCCCCCTAGATCACACGCCCCCAGGATGCGACGAGAAGACTCCAAAAGTGGCCATCGACACAAATCATGACTTACCTCTTTTGTGTGTTTCAGTTTGACTAGTCATTTTAATGTAAAAGAGAAAGTGTTATAATAAGGATGTTTTGTACGTTTATTTACAAAGACTTTTGACGTTTTGCAATAAAACATGCAATACATTGTGCAAAGTTGTATGGCTCTGGGTGGTTGTATGTGTGACAGCTGCATGCTATGTGGGGTGATGCATGCTGTGGTGCAGGCAATGTCGCGGAGCTGTGGGTTGGTTTGGAGAAACTATGGAGAAACTAATACTGTTCCTCTTTTTCTCTTTCTCCAGTTAACCTTACTTGGGAATGTGGTTCTGGATCGAGGTGGTGGGTGTTTCCTCCTAACACGCAATCAAAAGACTGATAACAAACAATGTTCCACTTGGCATTCCCTACTTGCACAACTTTGATTCCACTTCACTCTTCCAGAAGACTTCTCTTCCCATTTCCACCTTGATAATCCTATAGTCTTTGGCCTTGTGTCGAATTATCAGTTATGTCCAGTCACTTCAACTGCTAGTCTCCCGTGAACGATGTGCCAACACACCTACCTGTCGTCTGTGTGCATATGAAGAGCAACTTCTCTCCAGGTTCCTTAAGGAGAGGGGCGGTTGGATGTCAAGGCCATGGGAAGGGGTTTGGCTTTGGGCTTTGTGTATCCCGATGTTCACTCAACACAGAACAGCAGCCTCAATTACGCCAAACGGCATGTGAGAGCAGAGAGGGCTGAAGCACTTACCTTGACAACACTTAACCAGAAATCCTCATTGGAAAGCAGAGATCAATAGATAAGATGTTTGAGGTGCTCTGCCAACCTGAATGCTCGTGGGCAAGGCAAAGACATTTTAATAATACAGTTTACGATTACAAGCCATCATAAGTATCTAGTGCAGAACACTACGCCCACAAGAGGAGAATAATATGGTAAACTGGTAGGTGGATAGAGCTGAAGTTCAGATGCTAACACTGACCTTATAGCACTTCACCCTGGCATTGCCTTAATGTACTTACCACGCAGCATGACAATTATTAGAGGGAAATGTTTACTGCACCAGCTGAATGCAATGGTGCACCATTATGCAGCATTAATATCATAGCTTGACTCCTTCATTGTTTGAATGTACATCTGGGCAAACCAGAGATGAAACACGAGCATTGTATGACTTAGAAATGATACTGTTTTATTTTCTATTCAAAATCTACTTGATGAGGACACCTCCACCATCTTCGAAATCTTCTGTGTGATGTTGCATGTGTTTTGCGTTTTGCCCCTAAGGCCTCAAAGTGCTGTTGACTACATGCCTTTCCATTGGTAAATGCACCCATAGTAAGAATGTGTATTTTTTTATTTTTTTTATTCCCGTGAACAAGAGGGGAAAATCGAAAGTTTACTTATTTTTGTTTAAAAAAAGAAGGAAAAGTTTCTGCAAATGTATTCACAAGCTGAAAGTATTGAACAGTAACATGCAATAGAAGCTTTTTGAATGTTTTTCTCAGATTTTTGTAAAGAACTCTTTTGGCACGTTGTGTGTATCTGGCTCATATTACAGGTGGAGAGTGATGGTGTGCTTTGAGTGCTCTCCTTTATCCAAGAAGCTTCTGAAAAGCACGTTTTATACATATATATATAAATATACACAGTATATATTTTACATGACGACATACAGTGCACATTGTATTATTTATACTGCCTTGTCCACTTTGTATTTAAAGGCGCATCATCCAGACTGCATGTTTGATATTGCTACAGTAAAGTTCATGATAACCTGTTCAACAATAAAGAAATGTATGTGCCTTCTGGTTTATCTCATTGTGAGGTGTATGCTGTATTTTCTATAACCACATAACATGTCAACGTTCAAGTGATTTGCACCAGTCTTGTGATACCAGCATATACAAGTAGAGGCCACAATCTTTTTAAAGGGTGGTTGGTTTATTGATTCAGATCTTCGGGAAAGAAATTGACAGTGGCAAAAGCTCTAAAATACTTTGCACCAAATTGACCTGTTATCAAAGATACAAAGTCAAATGGAATGTTTTTAACAAGTGTGTGGCTTATCTTGGATAAAGTTCCAAGATAGCGTAGCAGTGCGGTCGTGTTCTCTTGTGTGTCCATGCAAATAGCCAGTTTTTTTATTTTTTATTTTTTTATTTCCCTATCACACTTTTCATCCTTCTACTAAATATACTTTCCTGCAACCCGCCTCACTCAATGTGGAACGGATTCTATTTTTTACTCACCTTTATCTAGAATCTCCAGTTGAAACTAGCCAGCCAGCTAACTAGCTACTTGCTATTAGCCACCGTTAGCGGTTTTCACCCAGAACATTGGATTTTCTGCCGGAATAACTGAATCACTGGACCTTATCACCGGATCTAGCTAGCCGCAACCGAATGGATGTTGCTGTAGGCTAATCACCACTGCTCCCGTAGCACCAGTTAGCCTTGAGCCTTGAGCTAGCCCCGGCTATCTACCTCTCTGTCTACCGGACGGGAGTAGCCAGCTAACCAGCTAACTAGCTACTTGCTATTAGCGGCTTTTTCTCCATTGTCCGTGGCCTGCACTACCTACCAGCCAGCTCTAGTCTGGACTATTATCGGCCAGTCTGCACTGTCTGCACAGCGAGTTATCGACCCAGAACCTATCGGATTTTCTGCCGGAATCACTGAATCACTGGACTGGATAATCGCAACTAGCTAGCTGCAACCATATGAACGTTGTTGTTGGCTAATCAGCCTTGAGCTAGCCTTGAGTCAAGCACATCTCCCGGCTATCTACCTCTCTGTCAACCGGACGGGACCTCCTAGAATCGACATGGAGCCCTGCCGATCCATCACGACTGGTCTGCCGACGTAATCGTCTGTGGTTTCAACAGGCTTCCCGTTGCGACGACCACGAAGATCCATCTGCTAGCCCCGGCCCGCTAACACACGCAAACTACAACCGTGCTTCCTGCTCGCTGTGCTGAAGCACCAATTTGAACTGCTCTCTGACTCACATATTGCTGTTCACTGGACCTTATGATCACTCAGCTGCACAGCTGATGCCTGCTGGACTGTTCCTTTACACGGTACCCTGTCCTGTTTATTCTGTTTAGCCTCAGCCCAAACTTTATCGCCATTACCAGTTGTTGTCTTAGCTCTCTCTAATAACACCTGTGATTGCGTTATGCCTCTCTCCCATGTCAATATGCCTTGCCTATTGCTGTTTGGGTTAGTTCTTATTATACAATTTCACTGTAGAACCCCAAGTCCCTCTCAAACTGCCTCAAATAGTTCCTTTGTTCCACCCCCCATACACGCCGAGACCGGCTCAATCGGTGCCTCCAGTGATGCTATCTCTTTCATTGTTACCCAACGCTTAGGTTTACCTCCACTGTACTCATATCCTTCCATATCGTTGTCTGTACATAATGCCCTGAATCTTTTCTACAACGCCCGGAAATCTGCCCCCTTTATTCTCTGTACCCAACGCACTAGAAGACCAGTTCTTAAAGCCTTTAGCCGTATCCTTATTCTAGTCCTCCTCTGTTCCTCTGGTGATGTAGAGGCTAACCCAGGCCCTGCAGCCCCCAGTATCACTCCTACTCCCCAGGAGCTATCATTTGTTGACTTCTGTAACCGTAAAAGCCTTGGTTTTCTGCACGTTAACATCAGAAGTCTACTTCCTAAGTTTGAGTTATTCACTACGTTAGCACACTCCGCCAACCCTGATGTTCTAGCAGTTTCTGAATCCTGGCTTAGGAAGGCCACCAAAAATTCTGAAATTTCCATCACCAACTATAACATTTTCCGTCTAGATAGAACTGCCAAAGGGGGTGGAGTTGCAATCTACTGTAGAGAGAGCCTGCAGAGCTCTATCATACTATCCAGGTCTGTGCCCAAACAGTTTGAGCTTCTACTTCTAAAAATCCACCTTTCCAGAAATAAGTCTCTCACTGTTGCCGCTTGCTACAGACCCCCCTCAAACCCAGCTGTGCCCTGGGTACCATATGTGAATTGATTTTCCCCCAATTATCCTCAGAGTTCGTACTGCTTGGTGACTTAATTGGGATATGCTTAACACCCCGGCCATCCTACAATCCAAACTAGATGCCCTCAATCTCACACAAATTATCAACGAAACTACCAGGTACAACCCTAAATCCGTAAACATGGGTACCCTCATAGATATCATCCTGACTAACTTACCCTCTAAATACACCTCTGCTGTCTTCAACCAGGATCTCAGCGATCACTGCCTTTATTGCCTGCGTCCGTAACGGGTCCGCGGTCATACGACCACCCCTCATCACTGTCAAACGCTCCCTAAAACACTTTAGCGAGCAGGCCTTCCTAATTGACCTGGCCCAGGTATCCTGGATGGATATAGATCTCATTCCGTCAGTAGAGGATGCCTGGTTGTTCTTTTAAAAGTAATTTCCTCTCAATCTTAAATAAACATGCACCATTCAAAAAATACAGAACTAAGAACAGATATAGCCCCTGGTTCTCCTCAGACTTGACTGCCCTTGACCAGCACAAAAACATCCTGTGGCGTACTGCATTAGCATCAAATAAAACATTTGCATCCTGTAGCACTAACTCCAAAAAGTTTTGGGACACTGTAAAGTCCAAGAGCACCTCCTCCCAGCTGCCCACTGCACTGAGGCTAGGAAACACTATCACCACCGATAAATCTACAATAATCGAGAATTTCAACAAGCATTTTGCTACGGCTGGCCATGCTTTCCACCTGGATACCACTACCCCGGCCACCAGCTCTGCACCCTCCGCTGCAAGTTGCCCATGCCCCCCCCCCCCCCCCCCCCCCCCCCCCCCCCCCCCCGCTTCTCCTTCACACAAATTCAGACAGCTGATGTTCTGAAAGAGCTGCAAAATCTGGACCCCTACAAATCATCTGGGCTAGACAATCTGGACCCTTTCTTTCTAAAACTAGCCTCCGATATTGTCGCAACCCCTATTACTAGCCTGTTCAACCTCTCTTTCGTAACGTCTGAGA